ATTGTAATGAAATGAATGGTGGTTATTAGAAAATTGATTTTATTTGTTATAGTGCCACCTGTGTCTGTACCTGTGCATGTGCCTGTTACTGACCGATACCATGAGAGTTGAATAGTTATGTTACCGTATATGTGCAACGATAAACCATCAGGAAGAACTATTATGTTGTTAAGAAGAGAAGATGCATACGGAATTTTATTTATTAAAGACTTTACTTTTATAATTTAACTTGTTTTTGCAGTGTACTATTATTTGTCTGTTACCCCATTATGCCTCATCATTACAGTTCACCTTTAGTGTGACTCTCTCCAATAAATAGATCCCACTTATTTTCAACATAGGGTGGGTTAAACATTTTATCGACAAAACATGAATAAATGTCTTTTGTTTTCATTTTACCTATACTATCATATTCATCAGTCATCACGGAATCGTCATTGCCAATACCATTATAATGTTTTATGTTCGTACAACCACTCTTTTGGAATAGCTTGTATCAACGAGGCGTATTCACTAAGCCAGTTTCTTTTATCAACTAACTTATTTAAAATTTCATTGGACGTCATTATTCGATTTTTTATAACAATATCCTTGATTCGTTTAAAATTCGAATCTATCCATGCCCTGAACCATAGTGATTTGTTATCGTGGCAAATCAATTTGTTTCCCCAAAGATTCTGTTGAAGGATTTCTCTGTAATTATCTAATGTAAAACAATTGTATGCATTTAGTTCAGTACAACACTTAATAACGTTGAAATAAAATGGTGGCATTTTATAAGAAAATGTTACATTTCTTAAGGTGATGTTTGACATATTGAATATTAGTTCCTCATTACCAAGTTTGCGTATATAATGTAAGGGCAGTATTTTCCACCTTACATGCTTTCTACACATAATCTTTTTGCCCACGTAATCTGCAACGCTTTAATTTGCAACGAAAAGTCTGGCATATTTATGCCTCCTTTAATGTTTTTACAAATTAAAGTTTTTATTTTTATTTTTTCTTTCTTACCGTTCCAGAGAAAATTATACGCCAACTTATTAACCCGTAAAATAACATCATTTGGTACATTGATTATAGAAGCATTATAAGTTAATTTAGAAAATGCTAAGCTCTTTAAAATGGTAACCTTTCCAAAAAACGTAAGATTTCTGCCTTTCCAGGAGTTAAGCAATCTTTCCAGACTAAGCCCCTCTCCCACCTAGGTTTATTTCAGCTAAGAGTCGTACGATTTCTACGAGTTAAAACTCGTGATCTTTGGAAAGGACCTATATGAGCTTATTACGTGTTAGCTACGAGTGAGGTACGACTTTATGGAGTTGGTTACGAGTTATGTACACTGTAAAAAATAATTATGTATTTTTACAGAAAAATGCATGTCAATTTAGTTGCCAAAACTGTCTGTAAAATTTGATTACAATTGCAAATGTAAAAAGAAAATACAAAAAATATGTTACTATTGTATACAGTTTCTCTGTAAATTTACAGATCTGAGTGTAAAATTGATTAACTTATTTTCTGTATTTTAATCCTGTATATGTAATACTGATTTACAAAAAATCTGTAAACCAGTTTTACATACAGTTTTAAAATACAGAAAATAAGTTAATCAATTTTACGTACATATCTTTAAATTTACAGAGAAAACTGTATACAATAGTAACATATTGCCTGTATTTTCTTTTTACATTTACAATTGTAATCAAATTTTACAGATGGTTTTGGCAACTAAATTGACATGCATTATGTATTTTGGATTTACATGCATTCTCTGAAAAATACAACAAAATGAAATAAGACTAAAAAACAATACATACATTTTCTTGAAGGTATATTACCAAATGATACTCTTACAACATATGAAATTCAATGGATTTAAAGTTAAAAGAAACTTTCATTGGGAACAAAAACATAAAGGCCCATTACTTCCTCTTTTTTTTTAATAATAAAAGCATGTTTATCTCAAACCTAACAATTTAAAGGTATCAAGATGCCAACATTATATTTTTAATTAACAATATTTTACAGTATAGTAAA